ACGCGTCGATCAAAATGATGTTTGCGTCGATATTATCGGACTCGCGCTATATTATTTACGCGCGATCCCGGTCCGGAATATCGATGCGCGTACCTCCTAAGTGGGACCGTTGCCGACGCTATCGCTGGTCAATTAAGGACAACTTATCCCCATTGTCGATTAAAACCGACGTGGAAATTATATTCGAGCAATCTCGATGAAAATATTGATCGCGCGCGGCACGCAACGTCGATCAAATATTATTATTTATCTGCACGATCCCTCGCACGGTTTGTCCAACACCGACGATCGAACGAATCGTTAAAAATTTTGTAAGATTTGCAACGAAGCCGTGCGAACCATGGTATGGTATCACATATTTGGCGATTTTGTTCTTCGCATCCTACAGATATATCGATCAACGTATCCGAACTGCTCGTTAACGTTACAAGTAAACGTCTAAAAATATGTAGAGTCGATACCTGAGAATATAGACATTTGTACCGACTCGTTCAGCAGGTTCTACCCGCGCATTACGAACAATCGACGGAAGAACAATACCCGGCTACGCTTCTTGCTTCGGCAATTTCTGTCGCATTGTTCTCGAAAAATTCGGTCGACGAATTCATTGTACCGGTTCTCTTAAGTAATGTAATGCAATGCAATGTAACGTAATGTATCGGGTAAAGTCGAATCTCGTTAAACTCAACTCTATTATCACGTAGCCTTTACATAATCATCTAGACTAGCATTGTGCATCGAACCGCTATTTCGAACAATATACTGCTATCAGATTCAACGGTTGTACGCGTTGTGTCACAGAGATCACAGAACCGGATCCCTGTGGGTCGAAATACTCCGAAGAACTTTCCTCGAAGCGAACAGTGTCGATACGAACCGTGTAGCATGAATAAACTTGTCGCTTCAACGTTCTTTACAATAGATACAACGGATAGATTCGTGTACGCAATACGTTGCGGTATATGCTGCGCACAGGCTGATTAATAACAGGTATAACCAAAGTTATATATCGCGGATTTTTGTAGAAAATAATAAGCGTAAGTAATACGAGATACCGGTGGAATTCCATATAAAACAGTTTTCGCGACACCGCTATCGGAGGAGATATTTCGGTGGCCCGTTGTAAATGCCTCGCCTCCGTATATAACGAGATAAGTCGTCCGTCGCTTTATCAGATTGCAAGGTCCCGATTGCGTTTTCAGCGACGATCTTGTCTACTTCGAAAACGACGAAGAAACGGTGAAGATATTTGAAGAATTTCCCAGAAATTCCATAAGGTCCTTTATGTAGGTCACATGCGAGAACACGCGAATGTCCTATCGACTTTAAACTTCCTAATAAGGGAACGAGACACGGTTTCGCTACGTAATAGGGCACTTTGAATACCATGCGGTAACAATATACGTAAGACAGCACCGAACTTGTTCCGATCCGATACGATCGCGTATCGAGAGGGCGTGCTTATCTGTCGCGCCGCGCCGCGCCGCGCCGCGCCGGTAGTCTACAAGTTTTCGGCTTTGTAATATCGGCAGGGAAAAGAATCGATGATCGCCGATGCCAGAGGGGTAGAGCGTCTCGATAGAAATACCGTACCCGGCAGAATCTCGGGAATCGCTCGACTCGAGCATCGAACGACTAGCAATTAGACGGATATGAAATTTCGATGCCATTATTGCTACCGAATTACTGGAATTCAGTTTCGCGCCCCTGTTCCGAATCCTTGATCGAATTCGTTCGTTTCTCCGTGTCGAAGATCGAATAATAACGATACTGCTCGCAAAAAGTATTCCAACAACTTTTAAAACGCGATAATTTGTTTGAAACCGAACCAAATTATTCGAATTGCTTTTAGACGACGAAGCGACCAGTTTACTATACAACGAATGAAATTCTTTCCATTGATTTTTTGTTGTTGCTTTTGTTGTTGCTCGTTTCACATTTTTTAATCGAACGTGGAACGAACGTTCGAAATTCGAACTCGAATTCCTACGGGTTAGGCTGGTACGGCTTCCGAGAACCGTCTCTAAATACAGAGAACACACATTTGGAACTTAGACTTTAGACTGGATAGGTTCCTTGGAACCCGGCAAATTAAAGCGAGACTCGACGAAGATCGAACCCTGCTAAATCGATGAAACACGAGTGCTCTGTGTAGCTACACGTTGGCTGCAGGTCGGCCAGTCAAGGAACCCGAAAATTGCTCCATGCCGAAAGCGCTAAAGAAACGAGCGATACGCTTAACGCGTGTGCGACTCTGTTTATAGTTGGACAATTTTTGTAATATGTAATAAATCGTTGAATTCAAGGTAGAAACGCTTTCGACCCGCTTTGCATCTTCGACGAAGAACAATTGGTACGATTTAAAATGATCGTCTCGCCTTTAAACGAAACGAGATAAATTCGAGCTCTCGGATACCGCGAGCGCGATTTCGGACGAGGCGTGCGATAAAACAAAAGGATGTTAAATGTGTTTCGAGCCGCCGCGCCGAGCTGCGCCGGATTTAAAGTTAGCCTTTAATGGATCGAATTCTTGGCTTAGTCGCGTCTAAACAACCGTACCGTGAACAATTTTCGTGGGAAGAACAGGGTAGCCAGCCGGTCGTGAAAAAAACCGTTAAAACTGACTCTATAATCGTGCTGCAATTACCGTTGGATCGCGGAGTAGAAGTGTTTTTTCGTGAAAGAGAACTCGTGAAAAGACAGCTCCCGCCTCCATTTAGTAAATTGCACGCGCCGCGCCGTAGACGAAAAACTCCGCGCCTCGAACGCTAACGAATAATTAAGCTTTGTTCGAAACGACTGCGGTAGAAAGTATGTAAAATCTGGTATGCGCGTTGACTATTTTAAAAGCTGTCCACGACGATTCGTTTTAGGTAATAATAAGAAAACGTCGCGTGATCGATATACATATATCGTAGCGAATCGTTTCATCTCGAAGTAACAATTCCGTGTGACAAAGTATGTAATCGACGAAATCATTTCCGTGTCGTGTGCGACGCGTTATTATTGAAGTTCGAAGCGTCGTAGTTTGCTCGCTGTTGTTTCATTCATCACGTTTTTCAATAACGGCCACGCGACGAGTTCTCGATCGTGTACCTACCTAGGCTACGGAAATATCGTTTATCGATAAAGGGATCAAAAAGCGCGAGAAAAAGTTCGATCGAAATAGTTCCGACAAACTATAAATATCGCGGTCGTATTAGAAACACGCGTTAAGAAAATGTACGTTCGAAACTCGATAATCGTAAATATCGCATCGTTCTCCGCGATTGAGCGCAACTATGAAGAAGAATTCTATCGGCTAGCACCGAACCCTATAAATCGTATCGCGCGAGCAAGCGATGACTCTCCGAGTATACGCTTTCGTTTGAACCGAGCTATTTTTCAAATCTGTACGATCGTATGCGTACAAACTATTCGTCCGCGAAGAACGTTTCTTCGAGAACTTTCAATGTACCATTGATCGTACGAAAGTTTGCAAATTTTTGCTACATTCGTTGTCGAGCGCTTTAAATCGTTGAAAATTTATTTTCTAACGAGGCGTCGAAATTTGTACAAAGTCCTTTCTTCGTGGTAATTGTTCAGGCATTTTGAAACGAACTACGACTACATTTCATAATTGTAAGAAACCGCGCTCGAAAATCAATATTTATTTTTCGCTTCAACAACCGGACCGTGCAACGTTTCGTAACGCGAGTAAAACCTTGTCCAACGTATCGCCTTCGTTATACTTTTCGTCTTACATTTTTATTTCGACGTATCGACAACGAACGTTTACGTACTCGCGTGTAAACAATTTGAACTGGACGCGTTCGCTAAGCGCGCGGTAGCGAAGAATTTCATAAATTCGAAAAGTACCATTCCATGAAATCGTACCGGAAGGGGATTGAAAAGTTTTGCTACGCGATTCGATTATCGTCACCTGGTAGAACCGCTGTCCGAGCAATGATAGATCTTCGCCTATCGCGAGCCATTTTTCATCGAACCATTTCCATCGTTGAACCTTGGCAAATTAATCATCGCTTCCGCAAAAGGCTTATGGAGATTCGATGCTCTATCGGCTGTATATTAAACGCGATATCGGTTGAAAAGCGTTTTACAAATGTTAAGGTAGATAGCAAACAACTTTTTAATTATTCGCGTCGATCGAAGAAAAATTCCGGGATCGCGATACCATGCTATAAGATATTATAATAATTGCTACATTCGGCGATACGATCGATGGTTGGCCAGTGGTAACGATAAGAACATAAAGGTAAGTTCCCTGTCGATAGTCAAGGTTTCCCGAAGTTCGCGAGTACACGAACCTAAAAGTCTTCGTCTCGTTAGAAGTTGGCGCGGTAAGATATCGCATCGTATAGCGCGCACTGCGAAACGAGTTCTCGAGAAGCAAACAATTTTGATTTTCAACTTCTTCGGTGGTACGCGTCCTCGCCTATTTCCGCGCGGTTGTTCGATACTTGGCGCGGAGTGGGTAAAACAGAAACCAACTGTTACCATTTATACGTACGATTACGAACTGAAAAATTACGTGGGAAAGGAACGATCATGGATCGGAACTAGAACGTTTTATCGATTTCGTTCCAGTATTCTATTTCCATGCAATCTTTAGAGAACGTATTTTCCTCCATTCAACCCTTCTCTTATTCCGACACGACTCTCCCAATAGCGTTACACGTACGCGCGCTTATATTTATACATAAACAAGAATAGCTCCCCGAGGAAATTTATTTCAGACATTCTCTCCGCAATTTCCCTTCGTTTCTGCGCGATATCGTTTCAATTTATTGGGACTTATTTCGCGCGGACCGCCTCGTCGTTTTATTCGATCGAACGCTTGATACATCGATGATCACGAGTGTCTCGTTGTCCGATAAAAACAATAGGGCTACTCTTGTTGCGATTTCGTGGAAATTCTATCGTACCCGAGTCGATAAATTGACTCGATAATTTCTCGTCGAAGCATCCACGTAACTTCGATAGTTGTGAAATAAAAAAATTCGATCCGATAGTTTCGGCGTCGAATTACATTTTCTTTTATTCCTCGTAGTTGCGTACACCAATGTTTAAAAAGCGAACGATTCTATCTCGCTGGCATATTAAATATCACCCGCCTACATAGTTATTTATCACGTATATAATGACGAAGCCGAGAACCACGGAAAAGAACTGTACAATTCCAGCGGAACGCCGTGAACTCTTGTGCCATCTTGCCCTTTCTCTGGGAAGAATTTCGCTAACCGTCACGAACAGCAACGATCCTCCGGCTAGACCTTGTAGAATCGGCAGACAAACCGTTAGCCACTCGTGCTTCATCTGAAACAATTACATCGATACGTCGGTATGAAAAGAGAGATCACCGTTATATCTTGAACGGAAGCCCCGATTGATAATCGGATAATTTTCAAACGCTCTTCTGAAATGCTTCGAAGAAGAAATTTTCTTCGGTAAAAATGTTAGCTTCGCGATCGTACGACCGTTGTTCCGACAAGATATTATACTCGAAGCGCGTATATACGTACCCGAAGCATCAACATTCCAGTTCCGATGCCAACCGCGGACCCTGCGGAGAAGGTAAATATTGCCAGTACGAGCCTAAAGACGGAACTGCTTGCGCCAGCTAGCTCCAAGCCTAAACAAAAGCCGACGACAAACTTGTGCGAGGCCACCGCACCGACCAAGAGCAACACCTATAATTACAAGACACGGACGTAGCTCGAATCTTTACGCAGTTTTTAAAAAATGCGATCACGCGATTGCATAGAGATCGGCTGTCCGGAGATAACATTTCGAAATAGAACACGGTGGTGTTCGCGTTCGAACAGCCTTCCTCGAATTGGTATATTTTAAATCGCCTACCTCGGACGTTGTTTTCTGCAAACCGATCGCTTGTCCCTCGAGCAACGAGTGCACGGTGAGCGCCAACAAAAGGCCCACGAGACTGGTGTTCGAATTCGGGCAGGGTTCGGAGTGATTACCGTGGCACAACAACGTCTCCTCCTCGTGAAAACACGACGCAGGGGCAGTTGCCGGATATTGCAGCGCTCCGTAAGTGCTGTTTTTCCAGCTGTTGCTCGCTCCGTTCCCGTAAATATTCGTCTGATAAATCGATTTCGAATTAACCTCCGGCGAGTAAATGTCTCTGACAGATTGCGTGGGCGCGGAATAGTTCGTTTGGTGCGAGTGAGTTCTGCAATGGTCTCTGCAATCGAAAAATGCATTTCACGATCGACGTCGGGACGAAACTGTAATTGGGAGATTACTACCCCTGGCGAACGAATACCGGAAATACGAAAATCTTGTTTTTCGACTTTCGATTTTTTTCTGGTCCGAACCAGAGTCGGGGCAAAAAATTTATTCGGACGACGGACAAGAGACGAAGACCCGTAACTGTTCGCCCAAATAACAATTTATTCGGATAAGATTTCATCGAAATAACAAGTTACCGGCTATTGTATTAATTGCTACGATTATTTCTTTTTCCTTTTCAAAGGTTTCATCGCCAAGTTTTTGTTATTTTCGAACAAATTGATCGTCGATGCGTAACTAAATAATCTTTCTACGGGGGTAGAGGTAACCATCGCGCAAATTCGACGATTCGTGTTTACAACGCGTGCGTCTGTTTGATCGGTGTCGTCAACAGAATAGTGGAAATTGAAATGGTTCGGAACGTATTTATGTATTTAACGGAATGTATTCGTGCGCGAATATGTTCTTGCAAAATTACGTAAAAATAAAAAAAGTCAACGATTGTTTGCGTTATCGTCCGAATAAATTTGCAATCTCTATTCTTCGAACAACTTATTCGAACAAGGAAGGAAGAAAATTAAATAGGAATGGTACGGACAGCTTCGCGATTACGATCGCGTTTAAAGCGTTTCATTTCTGGAACCATAAAATTAATTGGTTACGTATTTAATTGTTTGTATAGTCGAACAATCGTTAAAAACACACGCGACGTACACGATTGATATTATAATAGCAATTTGCAGTTGCGAACCGGTAAATCGTTTTTAGAAAATGAAAAAAAACCTTAAAAATCCCAGAAACGTCGGACCATGCCCGACCGTTGCTGTATTTATTTAAAAAATAAATCGATCTTCCCGACGCAACGAAATAACTTTCATTCGGTTGTTAGCGACGTGGGCCGGATAAAAAAGACAACACGATTAGTGGGAACAAGCAATAGCTTCTACCGTGTGTCTTATTCGCCTTCCATTATCAGAGGTTTACCAAAGACTTCGGTCGTATTATTGAGTGGTTTAGAGTGCGAGGCGATGAAATTCCTGCACCGACGTATATTTCCACCGAACGATCGACGCTTTGATACAGAAATCTTTCTTGCGAAGCGTTGAGAACAAAGTTTGTTAATATCACAGTGGACGTCGACGCAATATATATATATATATATATATATATATATATATATATATATATACACGGCGACTCGACAAAAGAAAAAAAATATCTTAAAATTAACAACGAGCATAAAAACGCCCATATCGAAGAGAATTGTTGCATGTACACGTACACCTTATTCCCAGGACATCGATATTCGACCGCTTCGGGATTGTGATCGATCGCGCTGCCCCAAACATAGTGAATGGTTTCATCGACGAGGTACAACAAAAGAAAGCCGCAAGCAAACACCAGTTCCGCGTAATTGGGCATCAGTTCGCGCGATTCCGGCAGCATGTGGAGAATGCAGGTCGCCAAGAGAACGCCCCCGCCGAAACAGAGCGTGCAAGAGAGCAGCAATCTCTGCTGAAGTTCTCGGACCCGCGAGACGAAGCAAACCGGGGCGATTCCGACGACGAAGCTGCCGACCCCGATGGCAATCATCGAGGCGAGTTTCGCCTGGACCACGGTGATCGTCATTATTACGGAGAACGTCCGGCTATGCGTGCACGGTACACCGACACTGGCAGGAACACTGATTCGAACGATCGACGCTAATCTAGAAACAGCGATAAGGTGGATCGGCTCGAGAGACGCGACCGCGACCGCGATCTCGCTCGAAAATCGATTACCAGGGAAATCCGACGGGCAACGCGTCCGAACACGACCACCGTGTCGAATCCGGTGATCGCATTATCATCTGTCACCGACTGCAACACGGCTGCCGCCCGCACCAAGATTTTCGGCAGCGCCGCGCGGATCGGAAAATAGCGCGTGCCGCGGTACGAAGAAAGAGCTAAACTGGCAGGAAACGTTCGAAACGAGCGCAAACGCTTCGAGAGCTTCGCTCGATACCGATAAGACGCTACGATAACGCGATCCGACGTCGTTCGTCGCCTTGGACTTACCTATTGTGGTCAGCTCGTTGTAAATCGGCTCGTTGAGACGGATACGCGATTGCGTGGATCGCGCGGATATCGTTTATTGGATTCGCAACGGGGATATTGTACGCGTTGTTAACCCTGGAGAGGTCGCGATCCGAAAAATTCGTAACTAGGTTGTTCAGCGTTTCGTCGATGCGCGCGAAGCTGATCGGTTACGTTTTAACCTCTGTTATCTCAGCTTTGAAAACTCTTGTCGCGGAACAAACCGAGACCGATGTGCCACAGAATTTAATTGTAATCGTAGCGACTCGAGCACGAATGATTCCGATCTCGCCATCGAACGCTCGCTCGCGTTAGAGAGACGCGGATAGCCAATTATAGTTTCCGCGTGTTCCCGACTAATACGATCATCGATGACCGCGATTTCGTCGCGAGTTGGCCGAAACGATTCTATTTCAATCGGCAACGTCGAACGGTCATAAATTCCGCATCCGATATACGTATGCGTATCTTTTTGTTTTTATCGCAGCATCGTATCNATATATATATATATATATATATATATATATATATATATATATACACGGCGACTCGACAAAAGAAAAAAAATATCTTAAAATTAACAACGAGCATAAAAACGCCCATATCGAAGAGAATTGTTGCATGTACACGTACACCTTATTCCCAGGACATCGATATTCGACCGCTTCGGGATTGTGATCGATCGCGCTGCCCCAAACATAGTGAATGGTTTCATCGACGAGGTACAACAAAAGAAAGCCGCAAGCAAACACCAGTTCCGCGTAATTGGGCATCAGTTCGCGCGATTCCGGCAGCATGTGGAGAATGCAGGTCGCCAAGAGAACGCCCCCGCCGAAACAGAGCGTGCAAGAGAGCAGCAATCTCTGCTGAAGTTCTCGGACCCGCGAGACGAAGCAAACCGGGGCGATTCCGACGACGAAGCTGCCGACCCCGATGGCAATCATCGAGGCGAGTTTCGCCTGGACCACGGTGATCGTCATTATTACGGAGAACGTCCGGCTATGCGTGCACGGTACACCGACACTGGCAGGAACACTGATTCGAACGATCGACGCTAATCTAGAAACAGCGATAAGGTGGATCGGCTCGAGAGACGCGACCGCGACCGCGATCTCGCTCGAAAATCGATTACCAGGGAAATCCGACGGGCAACGCGTCCGAACACGACCACCGTGTCGAATCCGGTGATCGCATTATCATCTGTCACCGACTGCAACACGGCTGCCGCCCGCACCAAGATTTTCGGCAGCGCCGCGCGGATCGGAAAATAGCGCGTGCCGCGGTACGAAGAAAGAGCTAAACTGGCAGGAAACGTTCGAAACGAGCGCAAACGCTTCGAGAGCTTCGCTCGATACCGATAAGACGCTACGATAACGCGATCCGACGTCGTTCGTCGCCTTGGACTTACCTATTGTGGTCAGCTCGTTGTAAATCGGCTCGTTGAGACGGATACGCGATTGCGTGGATCGCGCGGATATCGTTTATTGGATTCGCAACGGGGATATTGTACGCGTTGTTAACCCTGGAGAGGTCGCGATCCGAAAAATTCGTAACTAGGTTGTTCAGCGTTTCGTCGATGCGCGCGAAGCTGATCGGTTACGTTTTAACCTCTGTTATCTCAGCTTTGAAAACTCTTGTCGCGGAACAAACCGAGACCGATGTGCCACAGAATTTAATTGTAATCGTAGCGACTCGAGCACGAATGATTCCGATCTCGCCATCGAACGCTCGCTCGCGTTAGAGAGACGCGGATAGCCAATTATAGTTTCCGCGTGTTCCCGACTAATACGATCATCGATGACCGCGATTTCGTCGCGAGTTGGCCGAAACGATTCTATTTCAATCGGCAACGTCGAACGGTCATAAATTCCGCATCCGATATACGTATGCGTATCTTTTTGTTTTTATCGCAGCATCGTATCGAATTTGCTTAAATCGTACCAAACCAAAGTACGGAGTTGCGCACGCTTCTCTCAAAATATTAGCAATTACGACGGTTGACTCCAAATGTTTATTAATTGCAACGCAAAACTTGTAATTACGACCGTTTACCTCGTTCGACCGACGCGTTTTCAGCGTTTGTTAAGATTGCTTATGCGCTTTCGATATTCGTACGTATACGCGGTAGGAAGACTATCGTTTCCAGCCAATCTACCGCAACTGCTGGTCGATCCCAAAGAACGCAACACGCTCGTTTTGTCGAACAGTTTCTTGCGATCCAGCGTTCGTCGATCGTCGATGTCGACGCTTGGCACGGGATCCTTGTAAATCCCGTACCGCTCGAAATATTCCGATCTGTCTTTATCACGCTCCGTCTTCGGTCGATTCTTATTCGTTCGCGCGACGTCTTTAACCTTTCCTTTCGCCATTTTCGAGTTGCTCGAACGACCGGAGCAGGCGGAGACGTTGGACCCGACCGATTCAGCGGTTAAGGGTTCCGATTTTTCGGACAACCGATCCAGAGTCTTCCCGATGCGGTCGTTTTTCAATATTCGGTGTTCCACGATCTTCCGAAACTCTTCTTTCCCTTTCCGATCGCCGCTGTACGATTTCGGTCTTTCTATACCGCCAGGGTTGTAATCGAACACGCTGGTCGAATCGCGAATATTTTTCAAGCTGGCCTCGATCGAATCGGCGAAATCGAAGCCGTCGTCGACGGCGGTGCATCGATCGCTAACGAGAGACTCGTTCGCGTTCAAATTCGTCGATTTACCCTGTCCGATCCTTTTCGTTTTTACGTTTCTCTTCGGTCTGGTCGACGCTGATCGCGTCGAGTCCGATTTTTCGATTGCCGCGGAGCTCGCGCGAATCGAGCGTTTCGGTTTATCGGAGCCAGGTCGTTCCTCCATCGTTCCGACGTTGGTGTTACCAACTTTCGTCTCCGGTCCGCGCACCCTGTTCCGGCTTTTATCAGATTTCGATTCGACGGCTTTATCGGTGACCATCGATTTGTTAGCTTCGCGATTAATTCCAGATTTCGGTAACAGTTTTGTCCGACTCTCGGTCGTTTTTACAATTTTACGAACGTCCATTTGCTGCGACTCGATCAGCGGGACTTTCTTTTCAGGCTTGGGATGGTTTTCGATCGTCGATGTCCCTAAACGATGATCCGATGGTTTTTTTGTAACGGTGTTTCGAACGGTTCTTTTACGAACATCCTCGGATGATTTTTTCGCCGTTTGGTTCGTGGATGAAACCGATTTCGCTAATCCTTTCGATGGGACGTTCGAGACCTTCGACGCGTTTTCGAGCTTCGTGCTAGATTTTGTGGTTAACGTCTGTCCGGATGGCGGATGAGATCGAGTTTCCTGCAGAACAAAAAATGTCCCATTAACCGGCTGATAGATTTTCCAGCGAAAGAATGTAAATTAAGATCGAAACGAATGCGTTGTTTTCGTTCGTTTAATTTTTTGTCGTATGTTCTAGCCGCGATCGAACGATCGTCGTACCTTGCGTTCCTTCATTAGTCCTTGCGATTGCGCCAGTCGAAACAGTTGTTTCCAATCGGTGGACGATCTGTCGTTCTTCTTCGTTAACAACGTGTATCTTTTACACAATATTTCCCAGACAAAATTCTCATCGAAGATCTAAATGTTCAAAGCACAAATGGGGAAATTTGTCGCATAGGATTTGTTCGTTCTCCGTTACCTCTTTAGCGACGTGCGACAGCGTCGTCAGGTTCGCGATATCGTGCACCGTTAGATGGTCGACTAATTTTGCGATCACGGTCTTAGGCAATGCGAGAAGAGTCGCGCTCTTTCTGGAAGCGATGTTCCTCACGTGCCTCGACAAATATTTACCTAACGAACGTATCGTACAGTTATCGTGTAACCTAGGTCGCGCGAAACAAATTCGACAAAGTACGGGCAAGGGGTTGTGAGCAAAGAACGTTTAAGAATTCAGCCGGTTTAAGAATTCAGAATTCGCTGCTTACCGAAAACTCGTTGGATTTCTTCTTGCAGCTGTTTGTCGTATTCGAAATCGACGAAACTGGAGGTTCGCACGAGCGGGCTCTTATGAGGACCGTGCGAGATCTTCCATATGTACAATATCACCTAAGAGGCCGATTCGAAGGGGAGATACGTGTAAAATTTGTCGGTTGAAATTCCATTGTCGATACCTTGTCGCGGATTACTCTGAGTCCGTAATAGTCTCTGCTGGGCGAAGGTGCGACCGAATACTTCTCCAGATACTCGATCTCACCGCTCATACTCGACGCATCGGGATCGGTCAGATTCCCGCGTCGCGTCTGAAGTTGATTCGTTAACGACGGATCGACGTGAACAGAGTTAGAACGGTTTGCGAACATTGTAGGTTGTAATAACATATGAAATATCTAATCTGTAGCGGCAATTTTGAAACTGCTAAAAAATGTTTCGCTATCCGTCCTGTCGAAGAATGGAAACGAGCACCCCGATACGATCTACAGATTTTATCGAATCGGATACGAGTTTGTCGATATCCCGTTCGTATAGAAATTCGACGAGGAATCGCGTGAAACGAGAACTAGAAATAGAAACGTTACCTTTTTAAATTTAACCGTTTCACGTTCGTCGTACACGCATAAAATCCGCAGTACCGTATACGGATTTCCAAGTAGCCGATAATAAAAAAACGCTGGTTAGAATGGCAGAGTTTGTAATTCTTAGCCGCGAGGCTGGCCGAATAATCGAACGACGATACGATAATTGGTGGGCGAGATGCTCGAGTTCGGTTAGTCGGGTTCGGTTGGTTGGAAAAATACGTGCGTTGGTGCCAAGTAAATGTACAAAACTCCGAGACATTCGATTTCGTGACATTTTTATTACAATAATTCCATATGAAGAGATGAAGATAAATATAGAAATGTTGAAGTAAAAATGGAAAGTTGTGTGACATTACATACTATTTTGTAATGTATATTATAACAATATAGAATAGGTAGGCTATACGGTAATATCACAATGCATGATTCACAACTTCGTAAAAGTCTAGAGAGGAGAATATAAATTCTAGATCGGGGTCGCTCTCGGTCCGCCGTTCCGATCCTCGACGACGACGCGAAACGGCGAAACGGCGAAACGGCGAGACCGACGCGCGCCCCTTTGTTTTATCGGTTAGAAAACGCGATGAAAAATGTGGTTTCCGTGGATCGTTTTCAATTTTTCTCTCGTTTGCTAGACATTTTTGAAAACCGGAAATATTTACGCGTACAATCGAGCAATGCCAATTCGTAAACCGTCGCCGTTGCTCGTTCGATAATATTGGGAGCATCGACGACGCTAGAAGCTAATAGTGGTTGTAGACGGTACCTGTTTACAGCGACGCGGTACTCTCTTCTTAACCGTAATAGTAATAAGAATAGTAATAATAACAAGAGCAACGATCGTAATAATCGCGACAACGGACACATATTATTTCCTTTTCATTTTATGTATGTAGGTTTGATTGCATGATTGATATGACGTTCCTAACGTTTCGAACAACCGCTACGTCTCGGATGATACTTAAAAAACCGCATGAAAATAAATTACTATACGCTACCATAGTCGAAAAAGTCTTATGAGCGACGGAATAAACTTAAAGGCTCGTATTCATAACACCGTATTATCACTAAACGATACACCTTTGTTTCTTCGAACGGTTCGGTGTGAAAGTTTAATCTCAAACATCGATAACAGGATTTCGTTGGATCGGACGGAAATCCGATCCGGACGATCGATGAGAAGTGGTACAACGAATAAGCGGTGTATTTGTCACGCTTATGCGACTAGACAATTA